TTTTGACAATTCAAGAGCAACATTTATACCATTTAGAATTAAAGTGTGACATTTATAATTTGCCTATACTTGAGGGACATAAATTACAATTTTCTATTAAAAAATAACACAATGTTTTTAAAATAAAAATAAAAATAACACAATATACCATTCATTAATTAAAATCTTAATCTCAATTTATTCCTTTTTAGTACTAGTGTAATTCCTGGCCCGACAGAGCTTCTGTAAGGATGTAAATCGGTTAAAGTACCTACGAGATCCCTGTACTATAGCGTTTTGTTCAATTTAGTCCTTGTACTTTCAAAAATGGTACAATTAAGGACAATAGTTAACAATGTTAATATTATCATTAACTTAGGTTACGTGACGCTGATGATATTTATATTCCTACTCATATATTACTTTATAAATATTTAAAAAAATTTATTTTTACCACCAATATATTAAATTAGTATGTCCAAAATAAATAATTACGACCATGTTCGTAAAGTAGAGGGACTAAATTGAACAAAACAACTTTCCCACACTGTGGGTGGTGAGACTCGACCCTTGGTATTTTTCCTAAACTTCACTCCTATGACCAGTTGAGCTGTCCATACCAACAATATATGTTCATATATACTTAAGTCACTTCATGTCACTTGACCAAGATCATTGGCTCAATTTATCCTTTTATGTCAACAATTAATTTTACCAATCACATTAATTTTAATCTTAACTTATTATTAGCTACTAGATTTTTAGTAAAGTGTGCCAAATACAACCCTTATTTCATGAATGTAAAACCACGTTCTTCTTCCAAGCAAGTAAAAACACACGTTCTCCGGCCTATATATATTGTTGTGCAATGTCGCTTTGAATTATTTCATTACAGTAGCGTAAAGTAAGCTAATATATATCCGATCGGCCATGGCGATAACGGCGTACGAATCCCGTCAGCAGCTGCATTTTATGGTGTTCCCGATGATGCTTCCGGGCCATATGATCCCCCTCATAGATATTGCCAGGATGCTAGCTCGCTGCGACGGCGTCATCGTCACCGTCCTCACCACCCCCGTCAATGCCAAACGCTTCCAGCCGACGCTCGACCGCGAACGCCGATGCGGTTTCAAGATCCGAGAGCACGAGCTCCGGTTTCCCTGTGTGGAAGCCGGGTTGCCGGAAGGATGCGAGAATGCGGACTTGATCCCCAAAGGTCAAAACCTGGCTGCCAACTTCATGGCCGCCGTCGGAATGCTGCGGCCGCAGGTGGAAGAAGCGGTGAAGCAAAGCAAGCCGCCGGCGAGCTGCATAGTCTCCGACATGTTGCTGACGTGGACGGCGGAGGTCGCGGCGGGGCTCAACATCCCCAGGCTTGTGTTCAACGGATCATGCTGCTTCTCCGATGTCTGTGAAGCGAGAATCTCCGACTCCGAGATTCTCGGGAAGGTGAGTTCAGAATCGGAGCAGTTCACGGTCCCCGAGTTGCCGCATAACATACAAGTGTGCAAAGCTCAGGTCAAAGGATGCACGATTGATCCAAATGATTTAGATGATGATCCTAGGAAACAATTGGGTTTAAAGATCAGGTTGACCACAAAATCCTCTTATGGTGTAATTGTGAATAGCTTTGATGAACTGGAGCCTGATTATGTAAAAGAGTATCGAAAAATGCATCATGGGAGAGTGTGGTGTGTTGGACCCGTTTCATTATGCGACCAAAACTACCAAGATCAGGCACTAAGAGGCAATAACAACAATTATGGTGACCAACAAGAGTGCTTGAAGTGGCTCGACTTGCAGGTACATATTTTTTTCTTGTACTCAAGTTGGTCGAGTTGTAGACTTGTAACTAAGGTTATAAGTTCGAATCACAGCTAGAGTGATATTTTGGCGTTCTTGGTTTAAGTTAGTTAACTTTAAGAAACTTAGACTGGTTTACCTTGTTTTTGCCCATTAAGATCACACTGCCTATTCGTTTTTTTTATTTGAATCGGTCAGTTATGGACAACTCTTTAAACCGACCAACATCTTATTAATGACATTGCGAGTTTTCCTTGTCACTCAATATGCTTCGTGTAAATCATGATGTTGATCATATATTATTGATCTTACAACAGGCGTCGGGATCAGTGGTATATGTTAGCCTTGGAAGCATGGCGGCGGTGTCACCACGGCAGATGGTAGAACTGGCTATGGGTTTGGAGTCGAACAAAAGGCCATTTCTTTGGGTGTTGGGTAAAAGAGGAAAGAATGTTGATGCATTTGAGGATTGGAATGTGAGCAGCGGGTTTGAGCAAAGGAACAAAGGGAGAGGGCTTTTGGTCCGAGGGTGGGCTCCACAAGTGCTCATCCTTTCCCACACTTCTGTCGAAGGATTCTTGACTCATTGTGGGTGGAATTCAACTCTAGAAGCCATTTCTGCCAAAGTGCCAATGGTCACGTGGCCACTGATCGCTGAACAATTTTTGAACGAGAAGTTGGTGGTGGAGGTGCTCGGAATTGGAGTGAGCCTAGGGTTGAAGATGTCTGTTGATTGGGATGGTGAAGACAAAGATGATGTGGTTATGGTGAAGAATGAAGAGATAAAGGAAGCCATAGATAAAATAATGGATGAAGGGGGGATAGAGATAAGGAGGAAAGTAAGAGAGTTGGGAGAAATGGCAAAGAAGGCTGTCCAAATAGGGGGTTCTTCTCAACTAAACTTGATTTCTCTAGTCCAAAATGTTTCATCATTTGCACAACCATGAGAACCTATATCATATATCCATCCACCTGCAAGCTTTGTAGTACTTGTTATGTTCGTTGAGTTTTGCTAATAATTAAAATTAAATTCATAACTAACAATTATTTTTTATTGTATTTCGTGCTCCCAATTAAAATAATATATAATTGGATTAGAATCAAATTCATAACCAACAATTATTTTTTATTGTATTTCGTGCTCCCAAGCATCCATATCAGTTGGAGATATTAGGGGGAGAATGTAAGAGTGAGTAGGAAAGAGAATAATGTGGGAGGGGAGGGAAAAAAAAATCAAAACTGATTTTATAAAAAAAATATATAAAAAATAAGCATGCCATTTCTTTATTGGTTCTCTTTCCTCCATCATTAATTTTTTTTCTTGAGCAGAGTAATATCCCAACATTTGCAGATGCTCCCCACCCCTTCTCTCTCTTGATTCTCTCTCTGCCACCATGGCATTTTGGCCTCAAAAGTAGTGAATTCTCCCCCATTTCTCCTCTGATGTAGATGCTCAATAATATATAATTGGATTTGAACCCATTATGCTCTCTCTTCCTGAACTTCGGATATATTGATCTCAAATAACATTATTTTATTTGATTAGTTAATTGGATGAATATAAAAAGCTATTGCACTTATTATAAATAGGGAAAAAGTACAAATAGGCAATTGAATTATTTGAGGATATCAATTAAGCACCAAATTTGAATAAACTCCAAATTTATTTATGAATTTGTAAAAATTAGTAATTAGCATTTTTAGCAGGTTAGCAACAAGTTTGTGCTGATTGGAATGTCATGTGTATTTTTTATTTTATATATTTTATTATTATTATTATTATCTTACTAAGCATTTGACCCTCAACTATAGTTTTTCTATTTTACGCTTTTTCTCTCTTTCGGGATTGTTTGTGGTATTTTTGAATCAGGAAAAGTACTATATGCGCATGTACTTTCTTAAACTGAAATTTTTCTTGATTGAAGTTTATACACTAAAAAATTTCACAAAAATACATAAATATTACACGGGTATAACTATAGTTTCAATTTAAGGAATTACACGCACAATATAAAACAAAGTTTGTCTATACACGGACTAGCTATACCAAATATTTTGACAAGTAAAATATAATGTTAATATAGATTTGCATTGCTAAGCAGAAATTAATCTAGTACTGCCAAAACATTAACTCAAAAGAACTATTTTACCAAAACAAAACGTTGCCAATCAGCACCCCCAACATATCCTACTGCCAAAATGCTTAGTTTTTTTTTTTTTTTTTTTTTTTTTTTTTTTTTTTTTTTTTTTTGTTTTTTGTTTTTTTAGGGTCAAATGCTTAGAAGTTTTTGTTTTTTTATTATTTTTTATTTTTTTAGGGTCAAATGCTTATTAGAGGACAAGATCACTGCCAATGCTGATTAGTCTGTTAGGCAGTTAGTTGGTTAGTTAGGGAGGGACAAGCCTTCAATATAGCTTTTATATTGCTTCTCAACTCTGTATCTTCATATATAGCTTCCTCTTCTTCTTGTAAACGGTTAGTCAGTTTTACTAAATGAATACATCAGTTCTTTTCTTCTTTCGTCCAGCTCTCATTTTGTGATATGGTATCAGAGCTTTGAAGAATCACGGCCTGGACGAATAGACCTCAGGTGAATCTCCCAGAGACCACAGCACCACCGGTCCCAACTCCGGCGACAACACCGACGAGCAATACGAATGCTATTTTCGACCCAAATGATGCGGCAAGTCCTTTTTTCTTGCACCCGAATGAGAACCCTGCCCTAATTCTTGTCTCGGCACTTCTGGACGGACGGAATTACCATCCTTGGGCTAGGGCGATGGAGATGACCCTCCTCTCGAAGAACAAGCTAGGGTTCGTAGATGGAACCGTAGCAATGCCGGACGCCAACGATGTGAGATTCCCCTACTGGAAGAGATGCAACAACATGGTGTCAACTTGGATAATGCGGTCCCTCTAAGCTGAAATTGCACAAACAGTTCTCTGGATAGGAACTGCTGAAAGAATCTGGAAAACGTTGAAATCTAGATTCAGTGAAGCCGACATATTTCGAGTTTCAGATCTGCACGCTGAGATACACCAAATTCGACAAGGTGATCTGAGCATAGGAGCGTATTTTGCGAAATTGAAGGTCCTATGGGACGAATTGCAGGTTATAAGGCCTCTACCTACGTGTAATTGCACACAAAAATGTGATTGTGGTTTATTAGACAAGCTGCAACTTCACCTGGATAGTGACAATCTGTCTGCCTTTCTGAGAGGACTCAATGACAGCTATGCACCAGTGCAATCACAAATCATGATGATGAAACCTTTGCCCTCCGTTGATGAAGCGTTCTTGATAGTCCAACAGCAGGAAAGAAGGTTCAACAATGGAATAATAGGCTCCTTGCATCACTCTACAGACAACTTGAATGCAGGGAGTGTGTTCTTGAGTCAAACTGGTAACATCAACTCAGGTTCAAGGAAAGTTTATCCTAATGGCAACAAGATACCCATCTGCACTCATTGTGGATTTACTGGACATACAGCTGATAAGTGCTACAAACTACATGGGTATCCACCAGGATGGAGACCAAGAAACAGAAGTATAGGAGCAGCCAATCAGATTCAAGTAGCTGCTCAGGTTCCCTTAGAGGATACTGTTTCCCTATCTCAAAGTGAGTACATGATGTTCAAGCAATTGCTCCAAAGAGAGACCACTACTCAGAGTTCACCTTTGAACATAGGAGCCATGCCACAGGCCAACTTGATCTCTGCAAACTTTGTTCCCAATGCTCAGTTTGAAGGTACTTCTGCTATCCCTTCTAGCCATAGCAAAATTCCTTGGATCTTGGATAGTGGGGCAACCCACCACATTGTTTGTGATCATCTTATGCTGACAAAGGTTAGAGAAGTCCAGGGCATGTGTGTTGAACTCCCTAATGGCAACAAAATTGTCATCACACACATAGGAACAATTGTTGTGTCAGAAGAACTTGTGTTGCAAAATGTCTTCTATGTACCTGATTTTCATTATAATTTGGTATCAGTCAGTGAGATGATCAAGAGTTCTAAGTGCAGATTGCTTATGTATTCTGATATATGTATAATACAGGATCAAGCCCTTGGGAGGATGATTGGAATGGCTAAATTGGAAAAGGGTTTATATCATTTGCAGCAACCTGCATTTTTTTCAGTTGATAGATTACAAAGTGTTGAAATAAATGCCTGTAATACTAGTAGTCTGTGGCATGCTAGATTAGGACACACATCTTTCTCAAAAATGAAATTGTTACAGTTGTTGGATTCTGATGTGAAAGTCAATAAAGAATCAGCTTGTGATGTATGTCATTTGTCAAAACAAAAAAGACTACCCTTCCCTGATAGTTCTAGTACCTCTGCTAATTGCTTTGAGCTTGTCCATGCTGACATTTGGGGACCATATCATGTACACACCATATATGGTCACCAATATTTCTTAACCCTTGTAGATGATTTCAGCAGATTGACTTGGGTATTTTTGATGAGAGGCAAACATGAGGCTAGGACCTTTGTTCAGAATTTTTGTGCTCTAATTCTCACACAGTTTGGGAAGAGTGTTAAATGCTTCAGAACAGATAATGGACAGGAATTCAAAATGGATAAATTCTATCAAGACAAAGGTATCATCCACCAAACCTCATGTGTCTATACTCCACAACAAAACAGTATAGTGGAAAGAAAGCATGGGCATATACTATGTGTTGCTAGGGCTCTAAAACTCCAAGCAGGATTTGCAGAATGTTTTTGGGGAGATTGCATTCTACAAGCAGTATACATCATAAATAGATTACCCTCAAGTGCCTTGGAGGGGAAAATACCACATCAGGTGCTGTTTGGAAGCCCTCCTCAGTTCAGCCACCTCAAGACATTTGGATGCTTGGCTTATGCTGCTAATCTCAGTGGGCATAAACCAAAATTTGCTCCAAGAGCTAGAAGATGCTTATTTTTGGGATATCCCAATGGAACAAAAGGATACAAGTTGTATGATTTACAAACTAGGGAGGTGTTCATTTCCAGGGATGTGGTGTTCTATGAGAAGATATTTCCTTATGGATTGCAACATAATTCAGATGATCAGGTATCCACATCATCCCTTATTCTGCCAACAGATGCACACTTATCTGATGACTTGCCAAATGTGGTTTCAAGACCTGGCCCTACACTCCCTAGCAGCTCAGCCATTTCAGAGCACAGTTCTGATGCTACTACTCTTGTGAATCACAATGAAATTCCTGCTTGTGAGAGTCGAGTTGAGGCACATCAACAACAAACTAGGAGGTCCACTAGACATGTGTCTAGACCAGCTTACCTCCAAGACTATGACTGTCAACTACCCAGTATAAGAACATCCCCTCACTCTCTATCTGCTGTGTTGTCCTATGATAAGCTCTCACCTAAATTCAAGGCCTTTGCTCTCAATGTGTTGGATATAGTAGAGCCTAAATCTTATAATGAAGCTATATTACATGAATGCTGGAAATCAGCTATGCAGGCAGAAATAGATGCATTACAAGCCAACAGAACTTGGGAACTCACAACTCTCCCACCTTCCAAGCAAGCTATAGGATGCAAGTGGGTGTACAAGGTCAAACACAAGTCAGATGGAACAATTGAAAGGTGTAAAGCCAGGCTAGTGGCCAAAGGATACACTCAAACTTGTGGCCTGGACTACATTGATACATTCAGTCCAGTAGCTAAAATCACATCTATAAGGACCTTATTGGCTGTGGCAGCTGCAAAGGGATGGGAACTTCACCAACTAGATGTGAACAATGCATTCCTCCATGGTGATCTTCATGATGAGGTATACATGCATCTTCCCCCAGGATTTTTTGCACAACATCCAAGGCAGTTGTGCAAATTAAGTAAATCCCTTTATGGCTTAAAGCAAGCTAGTAGGCAATGGAACTCTAAACTCACAACTGAGCTAATCACTTTGGGATTTAGGCAAGCTGTTTGTGATAACTCTCTGTTCACTAAGGGATCTGGTAACAACTTTGTGGCATTTTTAGTATATGTTGATGATGTGATACTAGCAAGCAATGACAAGGATCAGATTCAGCAAGTCAAGAATCATCTACATTCTGCCTTCCAGACAAGGACTTGGGTAACTTAAGATTCTTCCTTGGTCTTGAGGTTGGAAGAACAAACAAAGGAATTGCTATAAATCAGAGGAAATATGCCCTAGATCTACTAAAAGAAACAGGCTTCCTGAGCAGCAAACCTATGAAAACTCCTATGGTACAGACAGCTAAGTTGAGCCAAGATGAGGGTGAACCATTGAAGGAGAACACTCAATATAGAAGGCTAGTTGGCAAGTTGTTGTATCTAACCATTACAAGGCCGGATATATGTTTTGCAGTCCAACAGCTATCACAATTTCTGGATAAGCCCACCACTTTACACCTTCAGGCAGTACATAGAGTACTGAGATATGTCAAGGCCTCTCCAGGCCAAGGCTTGTTTTTTCCAGCACAATCTAACCTCAAGTTAAAAGGGTTTGCTGATTCAGATTGGGCTGCGTGTGTTGATACTCGACGATCTGTAACAGGCTTCTGCATGTTCTTAGGAGAAGCATTGATCTCCTAGAAATCCAAAAAGCAAGGAACAGTTTCCAGATCTTCATCAGAAGCAGAATACAGAGCTATGGCCCTTGCTGCCTGCGAGATTCAATGGTTAATCTTCTTGCTCGAAACATTGGAAGTGAAAACAGAAGGACCAGCTATATTGTACTCCGACAGCAAATCCGCAATAGCCATTGCTGAAAGTCCAGTTTTCCACGAACGTACAAAACATATAGAGATCGATTGCCACCTCATAAGGGAGAAACTCCAAAAGGGCATTGTCAGGCTTCTTCATGTTTCCACTGATAATCAGACAGCTGATTTTTTCACAAAACCCTTACAACCATTGCCATTTCAAAGGTTTATCTCCAAGCTGGGGCTTCATTCCATATACACTCCAGCTTGCGGGGGGGGTATTAGAGGACAAGACCACTGCCAATGCTGATTAGTCTGTTAGGCAGTTAGTTGGTTAGTTAGGGAGCAGTTACTTGTCCCTTTCAGCCTTCAATATAGCTTTCATATTGCTTCTCAACTCTGTATCTTCATATATAGCTTCCTCTTCTTCTTGTAAACGGTTAGTCAGTTTTACTAAATGAATACATCAGTTCTTTTCTTCTTTCGTCCAGCTCTCATTTTGTGATAGAAGAAGAAGAAGAAGAAGAAGAAGAAGAAGAAGAAGAAGAAATAATAATAATAATAATAATAATAATAATAATAATAATAATAATAATAATAATAATAAAAATTGCCTAGTAGTGATTTTATGTAGGCTTGAGTTTAGGAGATAGTGGGTTGCAAATGGAAAGTCGAACAGGGTTTCCTTGTGTGAGTTGGTTATTGTGCGAATCATTTACTGATTTGCCCTTATTTTTGAGTTTTTTTTTAGCTCTACCCTTATTTGTGAGTTTTTTTTTTCTTTTTTAATGCTACTGGCTCTATTATAATGTAGTATCTCATCCTTATTTGTGAGTTTAGTTGTGCACATGTTCCTTAATTAAGGAAAAACACCCGTGTTTTTCTTTTGAAATTTGCCGATACATTTTTGGACCAAGGGTCAAATACACCCTCCAACTATATACCAAAATTCAATTAGCCCTTGAATTAAAAGATATTCAATTATACCCTTAAACTTGTTAAAATAATGCAATTAACCTATTTGACCCATAGTAGCATTTTCAAGTCACATGCCACGTAAGATGCCACGTCAATTAATATTTTAATGTTATTTTTTGAAAAAGTAAAATTAATTGGTTACTTTTTGGTAACTTGTTGAAAAAGGTAAGGAGAAAAGGTTACGATAGCAAGCCCCTCCCCTGCCGGAGACTTGGATCGAATATAGGAAAACAGGGACCAAAGCCCGAGTTTAAGCTCGGCTCGCGAGGCATCGCTCTCGCAGTGGGGTTCCAAACCTCGCCTCGCTCTTGCGACATGCTATGTTTCCCCTCTCTATTCGCAAGTAAAGGGTGAGTCCCATGCGTAAGTTTGTGGATTGCGGTCTCACACACTAATCCCTACAGGTGCTAGTAGTAGGCCGGCCGCCCTACCTAAACCAATCATTGCACACTTTTATCATGTTTAAGAATTTAATTACAGATTTTTTTGCTCTTTTGTATATAGTTGGATGGTCTATTTGACCCTTATCCCTACATTTTTTAAAATATATGATCTTGAGCTGTCTACGATTTTCATATAAGGTCTCATAGGAGTCGATCCCTATATATATTACTCATTTACTCCTTTTTTTAAGTGTCAAATAAGCCCTTCAACTATAAGCCAAAGTGTAATTAGCCCCATAAATTAACAAAAGCTTCAATTAGGCCATTCTTTACTTGTATCCAATTAAGTCCATAAATTTTTTAATTTGTGCACTTAGCTCAATTTGTAGGTAAACACAAGGTAATAGCAGGTCAAATTGATTTTTTTTATAAGTTTTATTTTTGAAAAAAAAAACTGAAATGTTGGGCGGAGAAGCTGGTCGGTCACCGAAACTTTTTTTTTTTTTAATTATTTTAATTAAAAATATATTTTTTATTTTAATTAAACTTTAAAATAAAAAAAATACTTGTAACTTTAATGTAATATGTTAATTAACCTAATTGCATAAAAGCGAAAAGATTAAGAGTCTATTTGAAGTTTTTGTTAGTTTAAGGGACTAATTGCACTTTGATCTATAGTTGAAGGGCCTATTTGAGTCTTATTATTTTTTTTTTTGAAAAAATTGCATCTTTGGTCCCTGAGTTATACCCAAGTTCCGACTCAGTCCTTGAGTTATAACCGTATCTATTTTTAGTCCCTCAATTATGAACGAAGTGGCACATTTGGTCTCCGCCCATTAAATCTGACGGAAAAATTTAAACATATTTAAAATTGAAGGGGTAAAGTTGGAAATTCACATTTTATTCTCCTTCTTATATCAAAACCACTTTCACAACATTATTTTTCATTTCTTAGCCTCTTATTTTAAGATTGTTCAATTCTAAAAAGTATTTCAATAACTTTAGTATGACTTGTTTGGAAACTGGCTCTTGTATGACAAACTTAAGACTTAGCAACAAACAAAGAAGCACTTGATCATTGTCTTCAGACGTGTGGAACACACTATCCTATCTATTTTCAATTTTCTTTACTAAGCAAAAAATGTAATCAAATCAGAACTTTTGAGATACAAAATGATGTCAAACTTTTATGGTTTTTAAGAAGACAGATGAGGTGATGGGTATATATATATATATAATATAATTTTTATATATTCTCAGGATATACGATTCTTGATTAAGTTACTGCAGAGCTTACGAAAGAATTTTACGTACTAAAAATCTTAAGTTACGCCGTTGGTGAATTTGTCATAAAATTAACTGAGAAATTTGATATCTTCTTGTATTTCAAAAGTTATGGTTTGATTACCATTATGTTTAGTAAGGGAAATCAGAAACTTTTAGGATGGTGTGTTTTACATACTTGAAGACAATTAAAGTGTTTTCTTGTTTGTACTGAGTCACATGTTTCTTATACGAGATTCAGATTACTGACAAGTCATACGAAGATTATTTAATTGCTTTTGGATTTGAAGAACCTTGAAATAGAATGTTAGGAAGTTCAAAATAATGTTTCAAAAGTGATTTCAATATAAAAAAGTGAATAAAATGTAAATTTTCTATTTTATCCTTAAAATTTTAAATATTTTAAAATTTTTCTATCAATTTTAATGATAAGGGAATGCACCACTTCACTCATAACTGAGAAATTAAAAATAGACATGGTCATAACTCAGAAACTGAGTCGTCACTATCATTATAACTCGAGGACCAAACTCGCAATTTTTACTCCTTTATCCCGTTTTATGGGCGACATTCAAAAGAGACAACAGAAGTGAGAAGCCTACTCTACTCCATTCCACTCGACTGGCCACTGCGGCTGCTTATCTACATAGTTATACACCTACCCCTTATCCGCCATAGAACCTTGTTTTCATTTAGATAGGGAGCGCCCATCTTCCACATCTTTCCTCATCTTCTATTGCGCTTCCTTCTTCAATCTTCAATGGCTTGCACCGCCACTTCTACGGCTCTGATTTCCTCCAAGCCTAGGGCAACCATTTCCCCCAATTCCTTCTCTGCTTCCTCTCACACCCTCGCTCTTCCCTCCTCCTTCACTCCTCTCCGCCACTGCAACCCCTTAGTCTCCCGTGCCCCTCGCTCCGCTCAGCCCAAACATCGCAGCTTTGTCGCCCGCGCCTCCGTAAGCTTCTCTCTTTATTATTGCGTTTGATTCATTGATTCTCTTTCTGTTCTGTGTGCTGCTTTTGTGCCAATAGGTGATGCGCTGAATCCCCAAAAATGGCTTCTTTTTTTTTTTATTTTTAAAATCAGAAACAATTGGGTGTTTTGTAAATATCTGTTAGCTGATTGGGATAATGTATTTAACCCCTGGTAGAAAAGTGTTTGGTAAATAGCGGTTAGCTGATTACATACAAAATGACTTTTTAAAAAAGCCGTTCGAAAAAGCTAATTTGAGAAGTTTTTTGAATTTTAGCATTTGGGAGCAATTAGTTGTTACAAAAGCTAATTAATCAAACAACTAATAGTGGTCAGATAAGTCAAAATTGACTTATAGGCTAACTATTTTACAAAACAGGGTCAATATCTGAAAACAAAGAAAGATATTACATGAGTGCCATTTTCTTACAAAAAAGATATAATCAGAAATAATATTATACTATATGGAAAATTCTTACAGTTAGGCCAAATAAGCAGTAATTTGCAACTTAGATGCATCAGTGCCATGTTCTTCTTCATTTCTGACTCAACTAATGTTTCCTGTTTCTTTTTCCACAGAGTGAACTTCCATTGGTAGGGAATCAAGCACCTGACTTTGAGGCTGAGGCTGTTTTCGATCAGGAATTCATCAATGTAATATATTTAACATCATGCCCTTAAGTATTTACTTAAACAGATTGCACTTTGCTCCCATATCAGTTTTCTTTCTTTCAGTATTGGTCATGTATATCATTTTTGCATCTTTGTCTGAAGACATCTGTTTTCCCTTTACCTCCCAATCATATTAATTCTCTTAAATCTGGTGTTGGTGTGCGTATCTTTATCAAACTTGATTATCAGAGATTGCCATCTCCACTTGTAACTTGAATTATTGTCATTGCAGGTTAAACTTTCCGAATACATTGGGAAGAAGTATGTGATTCTCTTTTTCTACCCACTGGACTTCACATTTGTTTGTCCAACTGGTAATTCGTCAGATATTCCACTTGCATATAATGAGATTGAACCTGAAATGTTTGCTGCTGAACGTGTTCTCCAAACTATTTTGCTTCCATATTTCTGCAGAAATCACTGCTTTCAGTGACCGCTATGAGGAATTTCAGAAGTTAAACACGGAAGTTTTGGGTGTATCCATAGACAGTGTTGTAAGTTTGTTTTTATCCATTGGTTACATTTATGTTTCTTCCAATATTGTTTCCACCTGATGTGTCATCTCCAAGATTTGGATTTTATCTTTTCTTGGTTATGGTTGTTTATATCATTGTAAATCAATCATCTTGTGTTGACTTCTTTACAGTTCTCTCATCTTGCATGGGTCCAAACTGATAGAAAATCTGGGGGTTTGGGCGACCTGAAGTATCCGTTGATTTCTGATGTGACCAAATCAATTTCGAAATCTTACAATGTGCTGATTCCAGATCAGGTATGAGTTTTTTGAGCCTTCCAGAGAAATAACTGCCCCCTTCAAAATCTGTGTCAAGGAACCTGGCTGAAATGGACCGAATAGGCTTAATACCATGTTATAATTTAAGATTAGGCTAAGGTCACTCAATTGGACTATAATGCACATGGGTCAAACCACACTAAAAGATTGAATTCAACATATTAGCTAGTCTAACTCATGGCCTTATAAACCCATATGTTCTCCCTTATTTTATCAATGCGAGACTCTTAACAAGTAGTTTCAACAATACCTTTACTCGTGTATGTATTCCCTTGTACAAAACTACAACAGAATATACACTCACGAGTTACAGAAGTTATCTGACCACCTATGCGGTGCTGTTGTAATCACTCGCTTCCTCGTGTTCCAGGGAATTGCACTAAGGGGACTCTTCATTATTGACAAGGAGGGAGTTATTCAACACTCTACCATAAACAATCTTGCCATTGGCAGAAGCGTTGATGAAACATTGAGAACCCTCCAGGTAAATTTATCTTCCTTGCCCCGTTTGTGTAATTTGGATCGTACACTACCTCTGGGCGCTTATGCTCGACTGTTGCTGCAGGCATTGCAGTATGTCCAGGAGAATCCCGACGAGGTGTGCCCAGCTGGATGGAAGCCTGGGGAGAAGTCGATGAAACCCGACCCCAAACTGAGCAAGGAGTACTTTTCAGCTGTATAAGTAAATGGTGCTTCAATACCACCCACCATTCAGCCGCTTTTATTCACAGTTTAGCAAAATGTTGTAGAGACTAGAGATCGAGTTTGTCCTGTCATTTGAATTTTGCGCATTCTGTCGAAATAAACACCTTATCTATGAGATGTATGTTGCATTTGAAGTTGAAAATGTATTAGTTGAACTGAATGCCAAAACATGTTATAGCAATTTAAGCCAATTAAGATCATGGGGCGTGAATAAGTTGATGGAGGTCTCTTTTTATCAAGTATAAATGTGATTAGTTCCAATGTGCAGGGTTTTAGTGTACCATGATTGAAGAAATTTGTGGGTACAAATATGATTAATTTTAATGTGTAAGGTTTTAGTGTACCATGACGGAATAAACTTGTGGTCATACTTAAAAGAGTTAATTACCGAAATGGTCCTTTGACTATAGTGAAATTATTAATTTGGTCCTTGACTATTTTTTTAATCAATTAAGTCCCTCAACTTTAAAAATCTTAACCAATTTGGTCCTTCGTTTGTTTGACCGTTAGTCAACCGTTAACTTGGGATCAAATTGATAATTTCGCTATAGTCAAGAGACCATTTTGGTAATTAACTTTAGGGGTGGACAATTCGGATTAGTTTTTTCGAACTGAACCGTACCAAACCCAACTGAACTAGTTTGGTTAGGTAATATACCAAACAACCGAACGGTATTGGATTCTTGTATACTGAACGGTCCGATAAAAAATCGATCCGAATTGTTCACTAAAAAATTGAACTGAATCGAATACTGTTTGATTTTTTGTTAAAAAAATATTATAATAATAATAGTAATAGTAATAATAAATAAATAAATAAAAAGTAAATCCAAGTCCCTTGCTGCTTGCTCTGCCGTTCAGCTCATATTCACACGGGTATCTCTCGTAAATGTTTTATTTGATTTCTTTATGGTTTGTTATCAAAAGTTCTATATTATGTGTTATGGTGTTTACATAGTTCATATCCAAAGTCTAATATATAACAAAATAACAATCCAAAGTTCAAACAGTATTCGATTCGGTTCGGTTTTTACCGAACAATTCAGTTCGGTTCGAGTTTTTACCGAATCGTTCGATATACAAGAATCTATTACCGTTCGTTTGTTTGATATATTTCTAACTAGTTTGGTACGGTTCGGTTCGAGAAAACTAAACCGAATTGCCCACCCTTAAAGTTAATTACCAAAATGGTCCCTTGACTATAGCGAATTACCAATTTAGTCCCACGTTAACGGTTGACTAACGGTCAAACAAACGGAGGACCAAAGTGGTTAAGATTTTTAAAGTTGAGGGACTTAATTAGTCAAAAAAAATAGTCTAGGACCAAATAGATAATTTCGCTATAGTCAATGGACCATTTCGGTAATTAACTCTACTTAAAAGTTAAAAGTTAAAAGGTTTTAGGGTTGGTCTTATTTGGTAAATGGCTGTTAGCTGATCGTGTTAATTAGATGGTATAATTAGTTGATAACATTGGCTGATTGTAGAAAGGTGTTTGATAAATTAGTTCTTATCTGATAGTTGTTTGATATAATTTCTTTTCTCAAAAAGTTAATTGAAAAAACTGCTTTGAGTAGCTTTTTGAATTTTAGCATTTTGGAGTACGTACAAAAAACTAATTAACTAAATACTTATATTGACTTTTAAATCAAGTCAAACAACTAACAGTGGTCAAATAAATCAAAATTAGCCTATACACTAACTATTTTACCAAATGGGGGCCAAAATTTCTTTTAAATGAAACTCCAAATATGAGAAAGTCTAAAAAGAAACAAAGAAATGGTATTGAGGTTAACATTGACGGAAATATACAATATTGGAGAAAAAATTGATTGGGGACAAAATGTGACAGGAATTTGATGATCAATTTGTTACGCATTAATGGTCTGTTTGAAAATTAAAAAATGACTTTTGTAAGTCATTTTTTTTTTTTTTTTAAATGTTTGGCTATCAATGAGAAAATAAGTCAAATAAAATGTTTATTCCAATCAATGCAAAAATGACATATTTTGACGGAAAGTGTCTTTTAAGATTTTTACTCAAGTGACATTTTTCGGATTTCTATTTCATGCTCAATTCTTTGATTTCTCTCTCTCCCTTTGAGGGAATAAAATGGGCAGGTTGGCTTATTCATGTGGTTTTTATTTGAACTGGATTTGACTAGTTTTGGTTAAAATATGAGTCAATCATTATTGTGTGGACCACAAATAAAAAGTATATTTATGGTCCAAGGTCCAAAACGGTTTTCGGCACCCGTTCCGTATAATTAGTTTTGTTTGTATAACTAAACAGAAAAAATATAATTTTGAGTAAATACCTAAAATGGTCCATCAACTATAACAAATTGGTTCTCGACTTTCAATTTCAACCAATTAAGTCCTTAACTTTGCAATTTTGACACGATTTGGTCCTCCATCTATTTGACCATTTGTTGACCGTGATCGACGGTCTCCAGAAGAACTTTCAGCTCTCGTCAGAGCACGTGGAGGCCTTCAGGATGACGTTGTACTGGTTCGGAAACAAGTCGTCTTAATCGCTCTAGTACGAGCTCAACTACATTGAATCCAAAGGGAGGATGAAGAAAGGCGACCGAATTTGGTAGATTGCTTTCGGCAGTGGATTCAAATGTAACAGTGCGGTCTGGAAATGCAACCGGAACCTTAAAAACCCGACGATGGACCATGAAATTACATATATATCATCAAAAATCACAGTCAACAAACGGTCAAATAGACAGAGGATTAAATTGTGTTAAAATTGCAAAGTTAAAGACTTAATTGGTTGAAATTGAAAGTCGAGGATCAATTTGTGATTTTAGCTATAGTCGAAGGACCATTTTGGATATTTACTCTATAATTTTCTTAGTTTCAGTAAAACAAATTATAAAAAAAAAAAAAAAAAAAGTTTCAACCAAACACTAAAAAATGAAAATATTTTTTAAAAAATAAATCATTTTCTAAAAAATATTTTCTGTACATATTTTCAAACATAGCTTAATGTGGAAAGATTAAAAGTTGAACTAAATATATAAGTACAATAATCGATGAACCACAGCTTGCATCACAGTAATGTTGCTTTCAAGATTTCCGATGAACATGGAATAATTAAGCTGAAATGGTCAACATTAAACACAGATGCATGATTATTGGAAGACATTGTTTTCGAAAAGGACTAAACACTTCTTGGCCCATTGGTAAATGACGGTTAACTGATTGAGTTAACTAGAGGGTATAACTAGTTGATAATATTAGTTGATTGTAGAAAGATGTTTGGTACATTAAGTGTTAACTGATAACTGTTTGGTATAATTTCTTTTCTCAAAAAATTAATTAAAAAAATTGCATTGAGCAATTTTTTGAATTTTAACAAAAATGAAGATTGAGTTTCTCACAGGTTTTTGGTGGATTCCGAGCTGAGCCCATGTGATGACTTCAAGTAGTTCTTCAATGGTGCCATACCCACCTAAGGATGGGGAGAAGAGTACAGTAGTTATGTGTGGGGAATTCATTATTGAACCATGTAGAAATTCATTCATTTAACAAAAGCTAATAAGGGTGCAGGGTGAAGAGACCGGACGGTCGAGTCAGTAGCTGTTCACACTGATTGTTCAGTTCTTTATCGTCACGTTGTAACTATGGGAGATCCACTGCAACTAAATTGTATGTTGGTGTGGCAATTGACGAATGCAATGACAAAATGACCTCGTTTACTTAATTGCTCTTTATTCTTTGTTTCTAAACAGTTTAATTTGATTGTACATTTTCTGGCATCTAAAGTTACAGCTCAGGCTAATTCTTTGGACTAGTACACTGTCTCTCCTGATTTTGTTCTCCTTTGTTATTTATTTTTTATTTTTTTTACACTAATATAAAGTTCAACGCTGTTGCTTTCAAAAAAAAAAAAAAAAAGTGTGTGTTTGAAATTCGATGGAATATTAATTTGGGGCAACATTATATTGACTATATTAATGTTGCAGCGTTATTTCATATGTTGCAGCGTTATTTCATTGGAATGAGTAAATGAAACGACGTTGCTTCAACGGCATTTGGTTATACCTGCAATGCTGAATTCTTAATTGATTTTTTTTTTTTTTTTTTTTTACTTAAGTTCAAACTCACAACCTTCCAAATGGAAGTTCAACCCGGGTACCATTAGATCATATAATTTTTTTTTTTTAACAAGTTGAGAAAGTATAGATGAACTGATATTACAATGTAATAGACTCAATAATATTTTTTAAAAAAAAATTGCATCTCTATCTCTATGTATATTAAAGTGTGAAAGCATTTATTTATGTATTCACATGAATTAATTTTTATTATATATCAATTCTTATTTTAATTACAAATATATATATATATATATATATATATATATATATATATATATATATATATATATATATATATATATATATATATATATATATATAAAATCCTCCTATCTCATTTTTCCACCCAAACTTTTGTAGTAAAACTTATTTGGTAAGCAAAACTACTACTACGTTTTTAGTGCCGCTGGATCCAACGGATTGGACCTGTTGATGGAGACCCTGGTAACATTGGCTACAAAGCTGATTTCGTAATTTTCCGGCGGCAAGGAAGGGCTGACGTTTTTCTTATCGAAAATAAAACACCTCTTCTCCTCACAGGCAACAAAGCGCTTTGCTGAATCGGAAAGTGATTCATTTTTATTTTTTTTCTCTTTATTCCTTTGAGATAATTACAAGATGTATACGATGAACGAAACAAAACCCTTATTTCAACACCAAAAACACAGAAGTTAAGGATAGAGATCGAGGACTAAGTCACGAATCTAAACTACCAAGTATTATTTAGTTTTTTTTTTTTTAATATAATAATTGTGAATCAATATAAAGTAGCCAGATTTGTCCAAAGATAAACGAAATTTAAAGGTCAAAAAAACTGAATAAACTAACTACAATTAATACAAAATTATATAAACAAAAATCCTCATCCAGATCTAGAGAGATTTCAGAGACAAAGTTGAAGATAAAAAGTAAAAAATCACCAATTTCACAGTGAAATTGATGATTTTTTACCTTTTATCTTCAACTTTGTCTTTGAATTTTCTATTGAAATCTAGACTTTAATGGAAAATTCAACAAAAGTGAGCAAAATCGAATTTCAAATCGAAGCAGCTAAAGGCACGAACTTTGTTTAAAATATAAATAAAAATAAAAAAATTTAAACATATCGATTTCTTGGAAAAAGGCCCCCGAAAAAAAATCTAATCTAACAGTAGCTTAAAATTGAAAAACAAAATTGCCCCTAAATACCTAGAAATTATTATAGTAATTTTATGTTAATCTCTATTTACATTCTTTCATTAAATTATTATGATAACGACGGTGGTTTTGATAATTTTATAGGATTTTCTGAAACTTAGAATTAGTATGTTGATTTCGAAGTTTGTACATGTTATTCAAGTTTCTATGTTTTTTATCTTCCTACTTTGTTATTTTCTAGAAACGGTGTGCTCTAGTTCGCCGGGTTCGCTCGTTTGGGTGCTCAAACGTCGAACCGTTGTACGTTTTATTCTGGAAAACCTAGGCCACAACGCTCCTAGCACTTTTGGGAGGTGGCAAATAAGGTTTTAAGGAAAGACAGGCACTTCGCCAACTCGTACTATTCTTTCTTCCTTCTCCTTCTTTCTTGTTTTGGATTATGCTTTTAAGCAAAAATCCGTTCTCCATCTTTTGATATATTCGTTGGATTGGACTTATAATCTGAGGATTATTAGTTCCAATTTTGGTTGATATATATTGGTATATCTTTTTCGTAGATATACATGTATATATAACCTTTGGGTCCGTTTTATATATATTTGTGTGTATATATATATTTCAGATAAATATCCAATAATATTTTATATACTTGTGTGTGTATATATAAATATTATTTTTGGGATATTAAATCGATTTTGGTTCATTATCACCGACATATACACTTATGCACTATACTAACCATACAAAATTTAAATGCTACTTTTTAAATTTCTAAATGTAATTTTTAAATTATAAATCTATCAATATATATATTATAATTAGTGAAATTATATTATAGAATTTTCTCCAAGATTATGTGGTGTAATGTTATTCGGATTGAACTTTCATTTGAAAGGTTGTGCGTTCAAGCTCCAACTGAGGGATGCACGAGGATCATACAACACCTTTTTTTTATACGTGTCAAATAGAACCCTTCTTTCATGAATGTAAAACCGCGTTCTTCTTCCAAGCAAGTAAAAACACTACAGGTTTTCCTATATATATTGTTGTGCATGCATTGAATTATTTCATTACAGTAGCTTAAAGTAAGAGAATACATATTCGATCGGCCATGGCGATAACGGCGTCCGAACCCCGTCAGCAGGTGCACTTTATGGTGTTCCCGATGATGCTTCCGGGCCATATGATCCCCCTGATAGATGTTGCCAGGATGCTAGCTCGCTGCGACGGCGTCATCGTCACCGTCCTCACCACCCCCGTCAATGCCAAACGCTTCCGGGAAACGCTCGACCGCGAACGCCGATGCGGTTTCCAGATCCGAGAGCACGAGCTCCGGTTTCCCTGTGCGGAAGCTGGGTTGCCGGAAGGATGCGAGAATGGGGACTTGATCCCCAAAGGTCAAAACCAGCTGGTTGGCAACTTCATCGTCGCCGTCGGAATGCTGCGGCCGCAGGTGGAAGAAGCGCTGAAGCAAAGCAAGCCGCCGGCGAGCTGCATAGTCTCCGACGTGTGCCTGACGTGGACGGCGGAGGTCGCGGCGGGGCTCAACATCCCCAGGCTTCTGTTCCACGGATCATGCTGCTTCTCCGCCCTCTGTGGAGTGAGAATCGAGGAGTCCGAGATTTTCGGGAAGGTGAGTTCAGAATCGGAACAGTTCACCGTCCCCGAGATGCCGCATAACATACAACTGTGCAAAGCTCAGGTCGAACAATGCACGACTGATCCAAATCTTTTAGATGATGATCCTAGGAAACAATGGGCTGTAAAGCTCATGCCGGCCACAAAATCCGCTTATGGTGTAATTGTGAATAGCTTTGAAGAACTGGAGCCTGATTATGTAAAAGAATATCGTGAGATGTATCATGGGAGAGTGTGGTGTGTTGGACCCGGTTCATTAGGCAACGAAAACTACCAAGATCAGCCACTAATAAGAGGCTATAACAATTATGGTGACCAACAAGAGTGCTTGAAGTGGCTCGACTTGCAGGTACATATTTATTTCTTGTACCCTGACCTAATATATGCTTATGGGCAACTTCAATCAAATTGATTCAGTTATGGACTTGAAAACCACAAGGTTATAAGTTCGAATCTCGAGTGGCCTATTTATTGTTTGAATATGAACCAGTCAGACATTCGTTTAAATCATGATGTTGATAATATATTATTGATCTTACAACAGGCGCCGGGATCAGTGGTATATGTTAGCTTTGGAAGTATGGCGTCGCTGTCACCACGACAGATGGCAGAACTGGCTCTGGGTTTGGAGTAAAACAAAAGACCATTTCTTTGGGTGTTGGGTAAAAAAGGCAAGAATGTTGATGCGTTTGAGGATTGGAATGTGAGCAGCGGCTTTGAGCAAAGGAACATAGGGAGAGGGTTTTTGGTCCGAGGGTGGGCTCCTCAGGTGCTCATCCTCTCCCACACTTCTGTTGGAGGATTCTTGACTCATTGTGGGTGGAATTCAGTTCTAGAAGTCATTTCTGCCAAATTGCCAATGGTCACGTGGCCACTGATTGTTGAACAATTTTTAAACGAGAAGTTGGTGGTGGAGGTGCTTGGAATTGGAGTGAGCCTAGGGTTGAAGATGTCTATTAATTGGGATGGTGAAGACAAAAATGATGTGGTTATGGTGAAGAATGAAGAGATAAAGGAAGCCATAGATAAAATAATGGATGAAGGGGGGATAGAGATAAGGAGGAAAGTAAGAGAGTTGGGAGAAATGGCAAAGAAGGCAGTCCAAAAAGGGGGTTCTTCTCAACTAAACTTGATTTCTTTAGTCCAAAATGTTTCATCATTTGCACAACCATGAGAACCATATCTCATTTATCCATCCACCTGCAAGCTTTGTAGTACTTGTTATGCTCGTTGAGTTTTGCTAATAATTGAATTCAAATTCATAACTGCATGTTTTAAATAATACGGAGTATTTATCGTGGACATTATTATATAAATTAAATGTCATATTTATGTCTCCATTATTGTTTTTCGTTACGATTTAATTATATATATTCCATGTATTATGTACTCATATTTGTGTGTTGGAATAAGAGATCAGAGTTACACCGATGTTCATTTTCTCTCTACTCCTATTTCTCAAAAGAAGTATGTGGAGGGGATTTTGAATAAGTTTGGAATGGAGAATTATATTGCAACTCAGTTAGTACACCTCTGAAGTGGGTCTGAAACTTATTCGAAATTCGGGAAGTGAAGAATATTGGCAGCACTCTTTACAGCCACAAGGCCTGATATTATGCATGCTATGAGTTTGATAAGCAAGTATATCGAGAATCCAAAGGAGGTTCATTTTTTGTCTGCTAAAAGAATTCTTTGGTACTCTTAAAAGGAACAACAAATTATGGGATGTTATACAAGAAAGGTGAAAAATCAAATTTATATGATTTTATTGATAGTGATTATGCAGGAGATCAAGATGATAGGAAAAGCACATCTTGATACACTTTTATGCTTAGTTCAGGAGTCATTCATGGTCTTCCAAAAACCAACCAATTGTCACTTTATCAACAACATAAGTGGAGTTTGTAGCTGCAAACACTAAAAAATTAAAATATTTCTTTTAAATAAAATCATTTCTAAAGAAAAATATTTTCCATATTTCAAACAAAGCTTAACGTGAATAGATTAAAAGTCTAAGTAAATATATAAAAAGTACAATAATAGATGAACCAAAAGCAGAAAAAAAAAAAAAAAAAAAAAAACTCAAAGTAAAAATAAAAATAATAAGTTTCCTATACTCCAAATGTATTAGAATTTAGAAAGGGCATATCCCTCCCAAAAGCAGTAAGAGCACATGCTGCACGCCCACCGTATACAACTACATATACAAATGGCACAACCACCCAAAATCAACCCCCCCCCCCCCCCCCCCCCCCAAAAAAAAAAAAAATTGTCTAATAAGCATCTTTTAATTTCTTTTTCTTCTTCTTTTTCTAGGATTTGTTCTTCTGTGACTGAAAGGACAACATTTTCAGGCCCCTAATTTAGTCTTCAATTCCAACCTCCTCCCAGATCAACTTGGACACTATTTCATCATACTGCGGAACATATTCCTGCATGCCAAAATGCATTTCATTAATTATAAATAAACTTTATAAGTTTAAGACAAAATAACAATAAAAATAAAAGTTGCATGCCTAGAGGTGGTGGCAACTGACAAGATAAGTACACAAGTTCCCATGAGAGTTTTTTTTTTTTCTTTTTTTTTTTTTGTTTGAAATAGAATGATGAGAGATGTTGTTAATAAGGTTGTAGTTGCAGGATGAATTCACACGTACCTCAAGTTGTGTGACCAACTGTTTGGCAGTTGGAGCCGACACGATAATGCCACGTGCAGTTGGGGAGATAAAGCCTTCATCAACGGCCTTGTCGATAAACGACAACAATGAATTGTAGTAACCATCCACATTCAGCAGCCCCACCTAATATTCATTAAACAACAATAATATATTAATTAACCCTAAGATCATCAGTTCAGACTGCTCAGATCTCTTAATCAAACTTTATCAAAATCTTTCCATGTGAATACTCTCATGCATCACAGTAACGTTGCTTTCAAGATTTCCGATGAACATGGAATAATTAAGGTGGAATGTACACTCATAGGTTCAAATGGTCAACATTAAACACAGATGATTAGTGGAAGACATTGTTTTCGAAAAGGACTAAACACTTCTTGGCCCTGTTTTATAAATGGCTGTTAGCTGTTAGCTGATTAGATTAATTAGAGGGTATAACTAGTTAATAACATTAACTGATTATAGAAAGATGTTTGGTACATTAACTGTTAGCCGATAGTTGTTTGATATGATTTCCTTTTTCAAAAAGTTAATTGAAAAAAGCAGCACGAAAGAGAAGATCGAGTTTCTCACGGGTTTTTGGTGGATTCCGAGCTGAGCCCATGTGATGACTTCAAGTAGTTCTTCAAGGGTGCCATAACCACCTAAGGATGGATGGGGAGAATGAAGTACAGTAATTATGTATGGGGAATTCATTATTGAAGCATGTAGAGATTCATTGATTTAACAAAAGGGGGGCAGGGTGAAATAGTTACCAGGGAGGGCAATGAAGGCATCAGCTTGCCGGGCCATCTCAGCTTTCCTCTGATGCATATCTGATACAGCTCTTACTTCTCCAATTGTTTCCCCAGTTATCTGTTTAGCCCCAAACAAACATCATTATTATAATGTCTGCAAAAATAATTTAATTTGCTTTTCCCTGTCCCCTCTGCTGACTAAAGTAGGAAGTTTTGGATTAGGATTTCAACAATTTAATGGATAATGCTGAGGACTGTTCATATATATATGAGTTTGAGTTAATTAGACGAAATCTATTGTGTGATGATGCTAATGTAGTACCAAAAAAATTAGGTAAAACTAACGACATCTCGATCCAGGTTTCAACTTAATTAGTTTAAAGTCAATAAAATGTCTCATCAGAATCAGACAAGGCAGGCCATATTGTCCTACATACATACAAAAGAAGGTAAACTATGATTTGAAGTTTCAGATTATTACCTCTCTAGGCATGAGGCTCCTTGGAATCACTCTGCAATACAACCATAATAAACAACTCATTATTGCACTCAAACTCCATTATATTCTCAGTTCATTAACCTTTCAAGAAACTACCTCTCATGTTAAAGAAAAGAAGAAAAAAAGTTCCATTTTTTTTGTGGCGAGGAAAACTCACAAACCATTATCTGATGTATCGATGTTCACTATAAAATATGAGTTTTTACTTTCTCAAAGGGCAAGAGAGAGACACATAATAATAACTGACAGATCAGAAACTTGCATTTGATCCCATGATGCATGTTTTACTTCATTCTGAGCCAAATTATTAATGAAATCCATTTGGATAAAACTAGGAAATATTTAAAAAAACATAATAATTGTCTTTCCTCTATATGAAAGAGAGAGAGAGAGAGAGTACCCTATAACATGGCGCCCACCATCATGAACTGCCTGAGAAACAAGACCCATCAGACCCACGTTCCCACCTCCATACACCAAATCAATCCTTTTCTCCACCTTCACAACACATTGAACAAAACAATGTCATCAACACGTGTCAGATACCCATTACTCCACATCATTCCTGTAGACTTTTTGTGTTAGGAGAAAAATAATAGTGATTATCCGAAGGTTTACACTGAGTAACATAAACCCTACTTTGTGATCCTAGCGGATAAAAGATCATAAGGAGTAAATAAGGTAAACGAACCTAGCTAGGTTGTCTATTCAATCATGTGGACTTTTGCCTACACATATCCTTGTTTTCTTTAAACAATAAAAATACTAGTATTGAAATCATCATACTAGTTGGGAAAAAAAAAAGAGAGAATTTTTTTTTTTTTTTGTCAGAGGATGAGGTGTCCTGAGCATGTTTTAACTGTAGGAGCCATCTTTAAACTCGTACCATGTTTAGAATAATTCTCATTCGCACCGGACTGTTCCAATTAAGGGGCAAAGTGCTGATTTTTTCCATATAAGAGGAGTTCGAACTCCCGACCTCTCTTAAGGGATGAGAGTGCACGCACAGTCGCCAACCAATTGGGTTAAAAAAAAAAGGGGGGAGAATTTCATACAAAGATAATTGCACATGCATCATGCATGTGTATTTGTGTGTGTATATGTGTGTGTGTAATGGGATGGGCAATAAACCAATTCAAAATGATGGAGGCAGAGAGAGCAAGGTGGATGAGGGGAGTGATGATACCAATATGGCACGTTTGGTCCCCATGAAAAGGCAACAAATGTTTTTAAAAGGACAAAGAAAACCCATAAAACTAAATTAAGAAGATCATGCAAGAAGGCTGCTCTAAACTGACAGCCAGGTTACAGCTAACAATCCCTTAAACCCCCCAACTCTCACAAACCTCTCCATCCATCTCCCCCTTTCTCTCACTCAGATCATGCCAAACAACACGCATAAACCCTAAACCTTAATTCCCTTCCAATTTCCAAACTTTACATCTTTCTTTTCTATTCTTAACAGAAGATCTGAAAACATATAAAATAAGCACAAAATTCAACCAAGGCAAAGAGAAAGTTCCAGTCTTTGAGACTCTGGCATGAACATAAAGTGTCACAAGACAAGGGTTCTTGAATTTAAGCAATTTTGAGTCTGCATTTTGCCAAACTTCTTCTGCAGATCAGACAAGGAGAAGAAGACTCCCAAAAAAAATTGGTTTTGAAAATACAGTTCAGTAGCTCTGATCTTATTGAATTTGTTATGAAAAGATTAAAGAAAAAATGAAATGATACCAGTTCTTTGCCTAACTCAATTGCAGCCTCTTGGTAGGTAGTTTTCTTCCCAGAACTGCTCCCACAGAAGACACAAATTCTCATGAACCTGCTGGATGATCTTTTCTCTGCCTCCATTTTTTCTTCTGTGTATATATGTATAAGTATACAGAATTAAGCAGTATAAAAGAGTACTAGTCTGTGTGTATATATATATACGGAGTAAATATAATAAATTAATAATAGTAATAATAATAATAAGATTGTTGGAGTAGAGACAGAGAAGGAGAATGGGGGGACGGGAAATGAGAAGCAAAGTGAGGGCCTTTTATAGGAACGCACCAACCCTGTTTGTTTTGTTGTTTTATAATACATACGTCTTTTCCCATTAACTTTTGGTCTTTCTTTACAAATTACGACTGTGCGACTATTGGCTAAGCATGTTCAATTGTAGCTGTTCAAACATTTATTTTGTTTTATGGAGAAAGTGAAAAATAATAAGTATACCTTTGCTCTGTTTGGCAAACCTAGCTGAAAAGCGATAAGT